GGCCCCCCTTCTCCCCCCCAGCATCCCTTACCTCTCTGACAGTGCTTCCCAGTGAAGTGTTCTGGACAGATGCAGCGAGGGCCGTCTGGCATGTTCACACAGGTGCCGCCCTGCTGGCAGGGGTTGTGTGTGCTGCAGTGGTCTGAGAGATGGGCACAGTGGGAGGAAGAGGGAAGCCTGAGTCAGACCATAGGAGCCAAGCCCATGCCTGAACCTGCTTGTCTTGTCTTTTGGCCTTGTTTCCAGGGCTTCGTTTACCCCCATGCAAAATGGGGCTACCCCCTCCCAGAACTTCTCCCGCTGGAGGGAGGGCCCAGAATCCAGGTGTGTAGAGTCTGATGAGACTCAGAAAAGTAATGAGGGGGGAGGGGAGGGCCTGGGGCCACCCCAGAGGCTGTGTGTGGCACCTTGCACTTTCTGGGGCTTCAGGCAGTATCCCCATCGTTGGTCCTGGTCAAAGTTGGGGGTAGTAGCACACCTGGAGAAAGAGATAAAGCTCCCTGCTCTGCCCAGGCCCACCCTCCCTATCACAACCCCTCTCTCCACGCAGGTTTCCTTGGGTAGATGCAGGGCAGAGGCCATCTCCCCAGGCCCCTGCCCCAACCCCTTCTGGGTCATCTTACCAGGGCCGGAAGCCAATTCGGCCCCTGCGGGTGCACTGGTGATACAGCTGCCTGCGGTACTGGAAAGGGAAGTAGCAGGGCTCCCCAGTGACAGTGAGAACTGCGGAGAGAACACACGCTCTAATGACATTCCCTGTGCCAATCTCCCAGGCACCCTGTTCAGGGTCTAGTTGGAAAGAATAGACCCCCAAAAAAGATCACTGTGCTGCCAGTCCCTCTGGTATGACTCAGTTGAGCATAGACCCAGGAACCAGGAGGTCATGGTTAGATTCCTGGTCAGGGCACATGCCCGGATTACAGGCTCAATCCCCAGCAGAGAGCATGCAGGAGGCAGTCAACCAATGATTCTCTCCCATTATTGATGTTTCTATCTCTCTCCCCCTCTCCCTTCCTCTCTCTGAAACCTTTCACACACACACACACACAATCGCTATGCCTTCAATTTTCCTGCTTAAGAAGTTGGGTCCAAGTGTTAGACAGCTGGAGTGGTCTCAGACTCCAGCACCTACTAGGTGTATGACCTTGTGCAAGTCTGCAGCTCCCCCCCGCCCATGCATGCACACACACGTTAGAAGAGTGCTTGCCACAAAGGAAGGACTTTATCAATGCTTGTTGAATGTTGAAGTCACTTGACCACTCTGAGCCTCAGTTTCCTCATCTGTAAGATGGCAATAATAATAGTACAGTCAAAGCGTTTTAGTTTTGCAAGATGAAGAGTTCTGGAGACAGGTGGTGCTGATGGTTGCACAATATGAATGTACTTAATACCACTGAATTGTACACTTAAAAATGGTTAAGATAGTAAATTTTATGTTATGTGTATTTTACAACAATAAACAATTTAAATGATGATGTAGATATATTAGTACAGAAAGGTGTTCATAATTTGTTTATTTTTATTATTTTTAAAATATATCTTTATTGATTTCAGAGAGGAAGGGAAAGGGAGAGATATAAACATCAATGATGAGAGAGAATCATTGATTGTCATGCCCTCCACTGGGGATCGAGCCCACAACCCCGGGCATGTGTCCTGACCGAGAATCGAACCATGACCTCCTGGTTCATACGTCAAAGCTCAACCACTGAACCACATCGGTGAGGCATTTTTATTATATTTTTAAATCCTTATCTGAGGACATGCTTAGAGAGAGAGAGAAAGAGAAAGACATTGACATTGATGTGAGAGAGAAATATCAATTAGTTGCCTTCCATATGCTTCCCAACTGGGGATTAAACCTGCAACCCAGGTATGTGCCCTGGCCAGAAATCAAAACGGCCACTTTTTGGTACATGGGATCACACTCAACCAACTAAGCCACTCCATCTGGGAGGGTGTTCTTATTTAAATGAAGAATGCCAAGTTACAAACAGCATGTTGGTATGGTTTTATCTTGGACAAATACATTTATGCGTAAAAAAAAAATCTAGAAGGACATTCTCAAAATTTGCAAGAGTGGTTTTTGGAAGAGTGTGGCTTATGATGGACTTTTTTCTTTTGTATTTTTGTACTTTCTGAAGTTTTGACAATAAAAATATATTGCTATTATAATTTCTAAAAATAGTATAGCCAAGCCTCATCATTCACAGATTCTGTATTTGCAAATCTGCCTTCTTGCTAAAATTTATTTGTAAACCCCAAATCAGTTCTCAAGGGGCTTTCACAGTCATGCACAGACATGCACAGAGTGGTGAAAATTTGAATTAGGAAGCCAGAAGTGCACATTCCCACATGAGTTCAACCCAGGTGTGACACTGCTTCTTAGTTCAACTCTCCTGTTGTAAGCAAGTGTCCTTTTCATAGTTGATTTAGTGCCACATTTTTCACATTTTGTGCTTTTGTTGTTGACCATGGCCCCCATAGTGCTGAAGTGCTGTGTTCCCGTGTGCACGTGGGCTGTGCTGTGTTTCATGGAGAACACATGTATCTTAGATAAGTTTCATCCAGGCATGAGTTACTGCCATTGGCTGTGGGTTCAATGTTAATGAATCAGCAATACACATTAAGCCAGGCGTCTTTAAACAGAATCCCACATAAAACAAGGTTTATATATTGACAGTTGATGAAAACTTTGTGACCAGAGGCACACAGGAACCCAACTCTATATTTCCTCTAGGAGCAATGGTTCAGTATTTGTGAATTCAGTGTTTACACTGACTAACAAAACAAAACAAGAATTGACTGTATCTATTTTAGGGGAACACTGTGAAGTTTAAATGAGCTAGTGCCTGTAAAACACTTAGCACAGCCTGGCATGTAGTACCTGCTCAATAAGCATTCGCTGTTATTTTGTTGTTAAAGGCGCAGTGGCACTTGCTGAAAACCAAACCAGTGACAGGACAGTAAAAGAAGAGAGAAGGGTCTGAGATGGACTTTTAAGAGGCAAATGGACCGAAACCGGTTTGGCTCAGTGGATAGAGCGTCGGCCTGAGGACTGAAAGGTCCCAGGTTCGATTCCGGTCAAGGGCATGTACCTGGGTTGCGGCCACATCCCCAATAG